CTGAAGGAGTTTTATGTGTAAGCGGTAAGACTAAAGGGTGCAGTTTATGTGAATATATAGGAACGATAACGGTTAATCATAAATTGAAGTGGTTAAGATTGTAGTGGTTGGGAAAGCATCCTCCTGGGATTATATTCCACAAAGCAACAGTTGTGGAGAAGAATCTATCTGAGTGGAATTTCCTCCTTACTAAAGGAATGCGAAGGGAATGAGTATGATGCATCTCGGTATACGAGGTGTGGTGAGTCTTATCTGGGAGGGTTAGAATTGGGGTGAATTAAAGAAGGTAGCCCGTCTGAATATTTGAAACAGCGGTAGGGTAGCAAGAGGCTTGCAACTTATCGTCAGTTGGAAAGGGCTTGCATGGTGGAAAACAGTTCATTACCGAAAAGACCGCCTAAATGCTTTTGGACTCTATCAAAACTGGAAAGTGATGATTGGACAGTTCCAGCCCAGATATGGCAGCAATACTCCATTTTCGGCTTCATCTTGCTCTTGTAAAATTTGATTATAGCAGGTGGAGTCAGATACTTACCTTTCGTGAGTCTTCTTCTTTGTTAGCTCATTCAAATATCAAACAACACCCAGCTTAAAGTCTTTTTGCTTTATTTGGGAATTAAGCAAAATGACACCTCTTTGCTTAATGGTGATCTCTATAGTAAATAAAGTAATATAAAGAAACTTGTTGTCTGAAGTTATGAAATAATGTGTTCATATCATTATTCTGTATGCATGACACAATTTTCTACGGAGATTCAGAGTTTAGTGTGTGCCCGATTTACGGCTTTTCAGAACAGTTATGCGTTACGCTTTCTGACCGAGAAACACACTTAACAACATTAAACGGGAAGGAGGCCAAGAAAAGTCAGCTAGAAGAGTATGAAGTTTAAAAAGGAATTTTGTTAAAGTGTAACAGAGAGAGTTTGGGAAACAAACACACACACACGTATATATTTTTTATTGAAATTGGAGTAGATTTGAACAGCGAAATTAGATCAGAGCAATTTTGTTTACTGATGGAAATCTGATCTAGCCCATTTGAAATTGGGTCGTTGAAAAGACAATGGAAATGATCGAAATAACTTATATCGGTTAAAATTTGAAATAGAGCTTACTAAGGCTATGAGAACTTTGAAATTCACATGATTTTGGGTTGAAAACGGCTCTCGTGATAAACGCGTGCGGGCCAAGGGTCGATTTATAAAAAAACAGATTTATCTATATAAACGAGTAGTTATGCTGAAGAAGAGGCAGACGGTTGAGCGAGACGGAAGAGGCCAGACGGGAGAGGCCGCGATCGCTCGGCACGTCGTCGTCGTTGCGTGCTGTCACGTGCGTGGGCACCCGCAGGCGACCGTTACGGGTCGCGGTGCTACAGAAATCTGTTGACAGAGTGGTTGGCTAGTCTGCCGTCGGAAATTGAAAGTGGCGTCAGAGATTGGGACAGAACCCCCGTTAAGATGTACTGTTAATATAAGTACCGATGCTTCTGCTACCAGGAAGATTACTACTACTGTTACTACTACCGAGGAGGAATGCAACTATAAACTTTAAGCCGCGCAGAGAAATCTTTATCTCTCCATCGCAAGAGTCGCATATCGTTCTGAGACGATTTAACAACAAGTTGACCAAAACCCACTCTTTCTGTGTCTAGAATTCCGTTGTATGAGTTTTTCTTTTTCTTTTTACGTCAAATATTTTTTATTTTCTGCAACCGTTTCTTTTCTATACTATTTTCTGTTATATAAAAGACATTAACATTTCTGCATATATATATATATATATATATATATATATATATATATTGGTGCATTCTAAATTTCTTAGCAGGGACTCTCCAGCCGTATCTACATCTTCAGTGAATGGATGAATATCACTTCTGCTTTCTGGATCAAACCAAACACAACGTAGGCAGTAAGAAGGATTAAACCAGTGGACCGGTCGAATGATCTACGGATGCTCAGGGGACCTACGGTCACTCCCTTACGTTCGGTTAAGACCGACTAGACACCTCAACCCAGAGAGTAAGACGTCGGAGGTTGCGGGGTTAGGGCGAAAGTGTTAGAAAAGGACAGTTAAAACTTGAGAAAATTATAATAACCCAGGTGGAAGGAGTAAATCTCTCTCTTTATATATATATATATATATATATATATATATATATATATATATATATATATATATATGGCATCTTTTTATATATATATATATATATATATATATATATATATATATATATATATATATAAGTAGGGCCCTGATGTCTAGCAACGAAATTTTTCATTCTTGAACGCAATTTTCCCATGACTTGAGATTGCGTTCAAGCATAAAACAGACCATTGCCACTCGGTGTTGACATTACTGTACACATTGCATATATTTACATACGCTATATGCTGAATATTGATTACTTTTACCCTATAAATATACCATACCTTAAAACAATATTTTATCAGAGAAACCCACCCCCATATATATATATATATATATATATATAGTCATACACAGACAGACTGTTTCGCTGTATTACAACTCGTCAGTGTGGATAGACATCCGATTGCTTCAAGCTGGGATCGAAACCCGACCGATTTGGCACAGTAGAGAGTAATGGAAAGAGTCAGTGGCTATGAGAGCTCGATTCTAGTTGAAGAGCATTGCATTAGCAGCAGTAGCCACTGTTTATAAAATTACTCCTTCCTCTCCGAGACCTCAATTTAATTATTTCAAGAGCATAGTCATCCACAGACTGTTTCGCTGTATCACAGCTCATCCGTGTAGTTAGACATTAACTCTCTCTCTCTCTCTCTCTCTCTCTCTATATATATATATATATATATATATATATATATATATATATAGTTAATGGATAAATAAAAGTTCAAATGACTTCAGATGACTTCCGAAAGCTTCGCTGAAACACTGGCACTCTCGGCAGGGTTAAGATACATGTAATGGATTCATTGACAGATATTACATTTATTCATACATAACCACACACACACACACACACACACACACACACACACACACACGTGTGTGTGTGTGTTTTTAAGGTAATTAAAGAAGTAAAGAAAGCAGTTTGGAGGGATATTTATGCAAGACGTTAGAGGCCTCAAAGAAAACCTTTATTATGCATTGAAATCAAAGTTGGCATAATTATATACCGTAGAAACATCTTGGCCTACAGCTTTGTTCTCTCTTTCTAAATGAAACGTTATGATTTCTTTGGGTCACTATATTGGAATTAAACTTTAACAGACCTTTCACCCAAGCGTCTGCTTCTATATTATCTCATTCAAATATCACAACAGTTGTTGGTTTGTGAATTAAACGCGATACAGTTCTTGGCATGCTGTCACTATTAATAAAATAAACACGAAAAGACCTGTTGTCTGGGGCTCTGTATTTTAGTGTCTACATTATTATTATTATTATTATTATTATTATTATTATTATTATTATTATTATGTTATTTTCTCACGCGTTTCTACCCCGAGTGTAGAGTCTGTTTAATTCCCGGCATTACTGAGTTTAAAACAGTTTCCTTTTCAGACAGAGAAACATCCGTCATAGTATTAAACTGGAAGGAGTTCAAGATTGATTTGGGTGATTGATTTATTTAAAATCGAGTTCACCCCAAGGAGGGCAATAAAGTCACTAAGACACAAAGTGTTGTTGGGCGTGGAAGAATTAGACAACAGAAAAAAATTACTAAGGAGCAAGAAGAAAAGAAAAGTAATCAGAAAGATAGTAGATAACGATGCATTTAAATTTTTGAAGATTAAAGTTGACTGGAAAGCATGGGGCTTGATTCTACAAACGGGAAGTGAGAAAAAAAAAAGAAACTGTTAGCATAATAATTTACGTTTATATCTTAGCCCGTTCAAATGTAAACAGATGTGACCTCGTCACCTGTCTACTTCTGCGCCTAAATTCATAAAGTCTAGGAATCATAGCAAAGAGCTCACCAGAACAGTTACCATGAAAGTATTTATAGAAAAGGCAGAGGTAGGTAACTTTACAAAAGTGACTGAAACCGAGACACCAGATCAGGACCAATAATATTGCTGATACGTCTTTGAATTTTATCAGGAATCACTAAATATATAACAGGAGCACCGGGCAGCAATGTTCTAAGCATGAACGAATGGTAGACTTATAGATACGTATACTAGATTCTAGAGAGAAAATTGTCTAGCACCACACAGTTAACCAACTTTCTTAGCAGCTCTTTGGCCTAGCAATTGATTCAATATAGTTTTTCCGCTTCATAGCAGCCGAGAGCATTTACTAGAGAAGGCTAAACGAGTCACTCTCCTGTAGGTTAGCATCAGCCATGGAAGACCTGGAAGAGATCTCTCAGATGATATGTAGAGAGCAGTTTAGAGGCGTTAAAAGTAACAAGTCATTCTTTGCTCCAGGTAACAACAGACTGAAGGTAGTTTTTAACATTAGTCGCCAATTTGACCTTATCGAAATTACTGTCGAGACAGGAGTAAATTTTTCTGTCCTCAGCATAGATACCAAATTAAGACCTGATGGCATTGGGAAAGTCGTTAATGAAAATAAAGAGCAAAGTAGGATTAACGATAGAGCCCTGGGGGACATCTACATTAGTACAAAAGGATCTAGAAGAGTGGCCGTTCCGGAAAACTTTTATTTCACGATTTGATAAGAACGACTGGATCAGTTTAAACAGTTGTCCGGAGTCATCTTAACTTATCAACTTGTGAAGAAGACTTGTTTTTATGGCTTATTAACTATTTGCATGTTAATTAAAACCAGAAAATGTTTTTGGATTGTAAGAATATTTTGGTAATAATAATGGTTTACTGATAAAAGTTCTACTAATTAGCACATAACTAGCAGATGAGGATGATTCGGACCTTTCCGAGTGTATTTAAGCGTAAGTGAATACAACGAAACTGACTGGAATTGGAACTCGGTCTTGCAATTAACAATTCCGATCCCATATCCATTATAGAATCCGCACATCCAAGCTTACAGCATCTGGTATTCCCAAGCGGTCATCCATCTGGATGCTAACCAGACACAACCTTGCTTAACTTCGGGGATCGTCTGAGAACCGGTATTTGAATGAGATGTGGCCGTAAGCGAGAAGTTCAGGAAAAACGAGGTCGACGTGTATGGAAATTAAAAAAAAAAGAGTTTGAAAGGTTTGGTTTGGTTTGGTTTGTTTAACGGCATGGATTATTATGGGTTATTTAATGAAGACAAGATTTTTATTGTTGGCAATATTTTTTATCAAAAATGTAATTCTGGTATTAAAACCTATTTTTACACTTTCATAACATTCAAGTGACCATTTTCTGGTGTCTCAGTTTGAGAGTTAACTATTTGCCCAGAGCTGGGGCAAAACTAGTGCTACTACCCAGGGGCAGGTTGGACCTGGGAACATCGACGTGGTTCCACGTTCCTCAAAACCTCCTGATAAGAGGCCTTGCTGCCGGATTTATTTTATCGTCATACCCAGGACACGAATTGGAAAGGGGAAGGTTAGAACGTAAAGGTAGAGAAAAACAATAAAAACATGTGACAGAAATTATATATATATATATATATATATAGGTAGATAGATGCGCTCTATCTCTGATATAGAGCACTTTATCTCATAAATACAGCACATCTTAAAACTATATTTCTTCATATATATATATATATATAGAGAGAGAGAGAGCGAGAGAGAGAAGTGTAAACAATTTGTCACAGTCGGAGTTCGAACACGGTCCGACAGTTCCATGTTCAGTCCCGTTAAACGTCAAGGTACACGCATTCATGATCCCTGCCCATCTTGTAATGGTTGCAGTAGACATATAATATGCATCAGACTTACACTTGTCTAATTTTATAGTTCAACGTGTCTATTACTCTGCTCACTATTTTACAAGGTATGTTCTAGCTAAAGTGACGTAACTGCAGGTTTTCCGTTGGGTTTATATTTTCCAGAAACATGGTCAAGACTACAGTAGAGAAATCTTACGACTGAAGAGAGAGAATCAAGGGAGTGTTCTCTCTAAACAGGGTCGAATTTCTGCAGAACCTTGTAACTCAGTTCATGGGAGACGGAAAAGAACAAAATGGCTTTGATAATTATTATTATGAATAACTAAATTTTTTCCTTATTATTATTTATAATATAATATTATTGTTATTATGCATTTAACGATATGTATCTTGCAGCATATTCAACATTTAGTAGAAACAAAACAAAAGGGTGGAGAAAGATAAACATTTTAAACAGTTGCAACGTCAGCACAAGAATATAGACATGCGCAATAGTGCAGCAGTAATCAAGAAAATTGGTGTATTTAAGACAAACAATTTCGAGAAAATAGGTGTATATAAAAATCATTCAAAGGAGTCTACCATAGAGCGATATTAAAGCGCTCAAAACGAATCAGTCTATCACACACACACACACACACACATATATATATATATATATATATATATATATATATATATATATATATATATATATATATAAACTTTATATATATATATATATATATATAAAAGTTTTAAGGTATACTATATTTATATTATTTACATTATTCGGATTATTGTCCTCATCGTCGCCATATTTATCACAACGTTTCGGCCGTTCTAGGCTCCGGCCTTCTTCAGGTGGTTGGAATTTAGAACTGAACCCTTTATTTCGCCCACTGGGGTAGACTGTTCTAGTTCCACGTGCCATGTTTGATGGATGTCAGTTATCAGTTATCTCCTGCTAATTTCCCTCTGAAAGTTCTCCACTGCCTTACCCGGTATTGAACTCACTGGATCTAACCAACACCTTTATCCACTGTGCCATGTGTCCTTGAGGACATCTGAGTATGAAATTCTGGGTATTATAAACCTAATATCAACAGCAACCATTTTTACCAGTGCTCATATTGCAATTTTTTCAATACAAAATACTGTTTTTATTATGTATATAATGTACATAATATCTCATCTCATAAATATAGACAGACTATGCTATATTTATTTGGAAAAGGGCTCAATACCAGAGATAGAGCTTATATAAATATAAAAGTGACCACTAAGGTCAATGTCGAGTAGCCATGCTTTGTTATTTTCAGGGAAACTCCAATGGGTAAAATATTGGAATCTACCAAACACTCTCTCCACATAGTCTTCGCACAATAGATCGGCATTTTCGAGGCACTTCCCATTTTATGGGTCAACAACTATGCACGACCGTCTGGAAAATAACTTATCACAAACATTCCTGTCGACACTGCTGAAGCGCATTATTCATCGCCTTTTAACATCTACCATTTGGTCTCTGTAAACGTTCTGCAATTGTCGACTGAAAATGAGCAGACTTCTTTTTCACATTTAAGAATCCAAAGATACACTTCTGCTTGGTACTTAGTTTTAAAAAATGCATATGCCAATTTTTTAGTTAGTATGCTTTTCTTCACATTAATCTCCGACCTTTCCTCTTTCTTTCTCATATATATATATATATATATATATATATATATATATATATATATATAGATACCTCCTCTTGCTCGGTGAAAAACAGCATAGCATGATGAAAAATGGCCCCAAACTTAATAAAAAACAAGTTTTGTCGTCAAAATGTTTATGTTATGATTAAGAGCAAAGACCAAAGTATTTTTTGTTATTTTATTAAATTTTTATCCTTTCTAGCATGTACAAAAGTTTGGTTAAAAATCTTGTTTTTTTTTATTCAGAGTGGTGAAATAAAAAATGCAATAAAATTATTTATTTAGAAAAGCTTTTAATTGCTTTTATAAATAATATTTATTAAGAACACTATTGTCTAAAGAAAAAAAATCGATGAATAATAAATTTTACAAGAATTGTCAGTTTTTTAAAAAAATTAATTATAATTAATATTAAATCATTTAAAAGTCTGCATTAGGTAATATTTCTATTAAGTGAAAACAATATTTACGAATCAAATACTGAAAAGCTCAATAAAAGTTGTTTACATCGAATATTTTAAATTTACTTTCTCTTATGTATATAAAATATTATGTAACTTGCCCTTTTTTGAAAGTATGGTGGTCGATCATACACGACAATATCAGAAAATAAGAACGATTACTATAGTAAATCTAAATTCAACATTCCTAAAATTAGATTACGGAGAATATTTATCAATATTTTTAATGATTACCGAGTACTTAAAAATTATATAAAAACGACCCTCTCCAATAATTTTCTTAAATTATATTTTACAGATAAAGTCGCCGTAGAACAACAATAAACACGTGAACACCTTATCAATGCCTGTTAATTGATCGACGAGTGACCAGTGACCAGTGACGAATCATCGCTACTGTTTGTTTTAAAAATCCATTTTTTTGTTATTTTAAAGTAAATAATATTTTTGTTCCAAATCAGATTAATTATACTTTAAATCAGCTAATATTTCTCAGATAAAGCTTCAGAAAAGTTTATTTTATTTTTGGAAGATTTTTAAAACCGAGAATTAGCTTTTGTTTACAAATGTGTCAAAAATGGCTAAAATTAAACGATATATGAAAGCGACCAAAAAGTTTAGATATCAATCGATATACTTTCTATTTGAAATGCACCAGAGTATTTTGCTTACAGGAAACAGTAAATTTCAGAGTATTTGGGTGTCAATCTGGGGACAGCGCAGAGGATAATTGTTCGGAATTTTTTCTTGTTTAAAGTGTTAGGTCATCTGGCAAGGTGTCTGTTGGTCACACCAACATCGTTGGCTTGTCTTTAGCATATATATATATATATATATATATATATATATATATATATATATATATATGGGATAACGATATGTAAATTTTATATGAATTTTTATACATATTAAGATCAGTTTTGTTCTATATATATATATATATATATATATATATATATATATAGTCCTGTTGCGTGATGCTAGTATGTTTGGGTAAATATTACTCATTATGTTGAGAGAATCAAGACTTTGAATAGTAAATATTTACTGGTTCCTGACCATTTATTCCGTAAACAAGATTGGCGGACTCAATGTGAGTCCCGGTAAAACCAAGTACAAAACAATAAATATAACACAAACGACAATGCATAACATAAGTAATTACACTTCAAGGCAAACGAAACGAAAGGAAAAAAAACAACATTAAAACAAGTCATAATAACAATGTATTTATTTCTCTTTGTATCTAAGAAACGTCTGTGATAGACCCGTGTGTGTATATGGGTGTGTGAGAAAGTGCAAAATTTAAACGGGCACCAAAGGAGCGAACGAGCGTTGTCGGCTGCGTTCCAATCTACGTACGACTACATCTGAAACCAGAGCTTACAAGACTAAAAAAGGGTGAGTGGGAATTTCATTGCCTATTTATAGGCTTAAAGATCGCCCTCTAGCATGTCACTTTCTTATTCTGAGTATAATCTAAAAATAGGTCTGTAATATAATCAATCCTTGCCTGGCATCTTGACTTCAATTACTTTCTCACCGCCGTAACATGGCTTCACTATGTTCTTTCTACAAATGTTTTTCATGGAAATTGTTCTGATGACCTGGCAAATGTTCTGATGGAGTGTACTACTAGATTGGCAATTAGGTCTCACCGTTTTACTGTTCAACCAACTAGATGCGATCGTATGTTCTCGTAATTATGGCATTTGAAACGCCCTTTTCGATTTCTTGCTTCCTTGCCACCTACAGTCTTCCAAAAATTAAATGCAACTTTAATCACCATTTTCTGTCTTCCTGAATGATGTACTTTTATTGGCCTTTCTCCTCACTAAAGTTTTCTCTTTCTTTTTCACTCTCAGTAACGCCTTGCGTCTTAGTGGCATTATCGCCTTGCTTTGGGTGAAATTTTTTTTTAATGATTTGTTGCTATTTCTTTGCTGTTTACACGCTCCGTCCATAGAATTCTCATATTCTTCTGTAGAGAATTTCTGTTGTCTCCAGTTTCCTCTTTATCTGTGGGGAGATCATCCAGCATTTACTGTCATATATCACAGAGTAACCTTGCACTCTTGTCTCTGTTTTTAACGAAATTTTCTTTTGTTTTTTATTAGTTTGCTTAGCTTTTGGAATGTATCTTTCGCTCATCCTATACGTGTTTAGATT